CCCCAAGCACTGCTCCCTCGGCGCTGAATTAGCCACCACCTACGATGTCACATATGGGTTAAATGCAGAGGACACATTTCATTGTTGTGTGCTGTGGTGCATCAACAATCATAACTGAATTCTAAATAAAGAGTCATAGTCATAGAGTACTCAACTGGTTGGTTGAAATAAAATCTTGGCCTGGATTTTTACTTTCTGGACCTGAACTATCCACCTCTGGTTATTTCTCTGTGTAAATATAAGCCAGGACCCCCCCCCCCCCCCCTTCGCAGAGCTACCTGGTGGTAAGACATTCCTCTCAAAATAGCTTTGGACGTTCATGTTCCCTGGAGGCACATACTGGCCAACCACGAAGATGGTCGTGCCGTCGGTTGCAATGCCCACCCCCAGCTCCTTAGTATCCTTCCACACCACCTGAGTGAAATGACCTACAGGGGGTAACAGGGGCAGTTGCAGTACTGGGCAAAAGTCAAAGTCAGAGAAAGTGATGTTTGAATGATCTTCATGTTACTGTAAAATTATGATTTTATTTCTGTCAAAGTGTGTCAGCTAAAACATTTCAAAACCTCTCTGAAAGTCACCCCAGGCTTTGGAGCAACCTTCCAATACACCCATGTATTTTTTGACTGAATCAATAACTGACTGAGTTAATGAAGTAATTATGTTAATTATGTCATTTGGTGAGAGCTCCCCCAGCTCCCCCAGACCCGTCCTGTTCAGACTGGGACATTCAGGCTGAGCGGTACCTGTGTTGGGGGTAAATCCAGGCCTGCTGAAGTTGTAGTCTTTGATCTCATTGTACCAATTTTCCACTGGCTGCTTCCCTGCAGATGCAAATATTAAAGTTAAATCGTTGATAAATAATCGCCAGGAACCGTCCAGGAAGTTCCCGCCTTATTGCATGGACCCCTTTGACTGAGCTGATACAATTTCTCTTTGGTTGATTTTTTCATGTTTCTCAGGGGTGGAACGTAAATTTTTTTGCTAATAGCCAACTAGGCCATTTAAGTAGTGAATGGTGTGATTGTGTGTGTGTGTGTGTGTCTGTCTGTCTGTGTGTGTGTGTGTGTGTGTGTGTGTGAAGGGTATGAGTGTGCCCTGTGATGGGTTGGCACCCCATCCTGGGTTGTTCCCTGCCTTGCACCTGTAGGCCCCAGACCCCCCGTGACCCTGAATAGGACAAGTGGTTTCAGAAAACTGATGGATAGTTGATTGGATGGATTGATGGTATTTGAGTAAAAAAAAACATATTCAACATGTATGCACATACTATGTATATTATGTTTGATGTACCAGTTGCACTAAAGAAAATGATATTTGTGGACATAAACATTTGAATAATTATCTGAGGGGTTCAGAATCTTGGAAATGTGGATCTGAATCTCAGTGTATCGCAGGCTGATTCCCCTCTTGGGTTTGAAACAGTTTCTTGTCCCGGATAGACCTAAGTATGCTGCTAACTGCTGCCCCCTGCTGGAGGTGTCCTTCATAGCATGTTGGAGGATAAGAAAACTAAAAAAAGAATCAAGCGCCTGTTAAACTGGTGGCCTGCGAGTTTACTGGTTTCTACTTTAACCCGTTAATCACTGGATTAAATGGCTCCATTACTTCTTCACTACCTGATTTGCGTTGCTAAGAATGTGTATTCAAGATACTGTCAAGATACTACAAGACACTCATTTTTGCTAATGATCATTATTAGTATTAATCAGTATTGTATTATTGTACAGTTATAATTATAAAAAAAATTGTTTTTTTGCCAAATAGTGGTGTTTAGCTCAGCATCATCATGTGCCCTTTCCCTGCCCGTCCCCTCCCCCAAAAAGTGGAAGTGTCACCTGAGATCTTCATGGGCCTGGAGCTCTGCATACAGAAGATGTTCTCTCCCTTGTCTGACTGGGGGCTGTGCTTCAGCATCCGGATGGCGAGCAGGTGATCGGCCCAGCTCTGCGCGGAGACACTCAGCTCCCTGCTCAGCGTCAGTGGTGGTGCCCCATGATCCTGCCGGTACGCGTTGTGGGCCTCCAGAAACTCCCGCTCAAAGTCAGTGTCTGAGGAGAAGGGGAGTGTGACCAGGGGGCGGGGCACTGAGTCCCAGTGCTGCCACACTCAAGCACCACTTCATCGCTCTCACCCAGATGGATGTTTCAAACCTCAGCACATATTTTTAACTTGCAAACAGTGAAGGACAATGCTTGCTGGACCTCACCTTTCATATGTGCCAGTTAAATTAATTCTGAACAAAACAGAAGTGCTTTTTTTATGAAGGAAAGATCATTTATGGAATCATATTTTCTGGGATGATTTTGAAATATCTTTCAGATTTGTATTTTATAATTCTTTTTAAATCTTTTCAGACTTTTATAGATCTTCTGAACTTCTCTTGAAGTCTTTTATAGATCTTCTAAGACACCTTTTGCAGTCTGAGATCTTCCTGAATGGGATGATTAGACATCAAGTGAGCAGGTGACTGATGCATCTGCATTTTGGCAGCGGATGAAAACAGAAAGCTGAGAATTCAGATGCTAAGAGATGAACACAGAAGAGCAGAAGAGAGCGAGTAAGAAATGTAAGGGGGAAGGGAAAGAACTCACCTGCCATATTCTTCCTCATCTTTGTAACTAGAAAACAAACAAAATACATACTTTTACTGAACTTTCACTTCTGGAAATCTTCTGCCTGCCAGTTTGAGGCATTATTTTTAAAAACTCAAGCTTAAGCAGTGGCTGACAGGGAAGCAGCAGATCCTGCACTGCTGTCATCTTCCTGAAACGCTGTCTAACTGCTCCGTGTGATACACACCTGCCCGCCTGTCCGAATGGCTGCCCGTCCAGCGCTATGCACCCCTGATCTGTTGCCGTTCCTCTTTGTCTCGCTGCCACAAAGTTATTTATCGAGGCCGGGAAGCCCCTCCCTCAGGAACTGTTTGCGATTCACCTTTGCCCTATCCATCCTCTCTCGCTCTCTCCCTCTCTCTCTCTCTC